AAATTTTATCATTTGAAACGTTTTGGAGTCGGTTTACTTACCGTACCACATACCTATTCCTTTTCAGAGTCTGAAACATTCTGGAAAGTGTCCCTTATGTACTCCTCCGGTGTCACGGTATCAATTATATTGGTCTCAACACTTATGGGAGTACCTGAGATATAATTTTAAGTCTTTGATCGTTTACCACCTCTGGATTTTTACCTGCGGCATTGTTAATTTTTATGGCACCGGAACGATAAACCTCCTCGATGATGTAGGGGCCTTCCCATTTAGAGAGAAGCTTTCCTGCAAAAATTCTTAAATGAGAGTTGTATAGCAAAACATGATCGCCTACATTAAACTCACGCTTTTGTATCCTCTTGTCATGCCATCTTTTAACTTTTTCTTTAAACAACTTGGCGTTCTCATAGGCTTGGGTTCTCCATTCATCAACTGAGCTAATATCAAATAACCTCTTTTCACCGGCAAGTTTGAAATCATAGTTGAGCTCTTTAATAGCCCAGTATGCCTTATGTTCTAGTTCAAGACGTAAGTGACATGCCTTTCCATAAACCATTTTATATGGAGACGTACCCATAGGATTCTTATAAGCAGTTCTATAAGCCCACAAAGCATCACCAAGTTTCTTAGACGAATTCTTTCTAGATCTATTAACAGTCTTTTGCAATATTAATTTAATCTCTCTATTGCTCAATTCTACTTGACCACTAGACTGAGGATGATATGGAGATGCAATTCTATGATTAACATCATATTTAGCTAGCATTTTATGAAAAGCACCATGAATAAAATGTGAACCACCATCAGTCATTAAATATCTAGGGACTCCAAACCTCGGAAAAATAACTTCTTTAAGCATCTTAACAGAAGTGTTATGATCAGCACTACCAGTTGAAATATCTTCTAACCACTTAGTAACTTAATCAACAACAACTAGAATATGTGTATACCCATTAGAGGAAGGAAAAGGTCCCATATAATCAAATCCCCAATCATCAAATGGTTCAATAACAAGTGAATAGTTCATAGGCATTTCCTGGCGTCTACTAATATTACCAATTCTTTGGCATTCATCACAAGATAAGACAAACTTACGGGCATCTTTAAAGAGAGTGGGCTAATAGAACCCGGATTGCAATACCTTATGTGCAGTTTTGTCTCCAGCGTGGTGCCCTACGTAAGCTTCGGAGTGGCACTTGCGTAGGATCTGTTCCTGTTCATACTCAGGTATACAACGTCTAATAACACCATCTACTCCTTCTTTATAAAGGTGTGGGTCATCCCAGAAGTAATGTCTTAAATCATAGAAAAACTTTTTCTTTTGCTGGTATGTGAAACTAGGTGGTATAAATTTAGCAACAATATAATTAGCATAATCAGCATACCATGGAGCATTACAAGAAGCATTTATGACATTTAATTGCTCACCAGGAAAGCTATCATCAATAGGCAGTGGGTCATCAAGAACATTTTCTAACCTAGACAAGTTATCTGCAACGGGCTTCTCAGCTCCCTTTCTATCAACAATATGCAAATCAAATTCTTGTAGCAAGAGAACCCATCTAATGAGTCTAGGTTTAGCATCTTTCTTTTCCATAAGATATTTAATAGCAGCATGATCAGTGTGAACAGTTACCCTGGAATCAACAATATAAGGTTTCAACTTATCACAAGCAAAAACAACTGCTAAAAATTCTTATTCAGTGGTAGCATAATTTTTCTGGGCACTGTCTAGAGTTTTACTAGCATATTGAATAACATTTAATTTCTTATCAACTCTTTGTCCTAAAACAGCACCATCAACATAATCACTAGCATCACATATAATTTCAAAGGGTAGGTTCCAATCAGGTGGCTGGACAATAGGAGCAGAAATCAAGGCTTTCTTAAGTATTTCAAATGCTTCTATACAATCATCATCAAAAACTAAAGGAACATATTTTTGTAAGAGATTAGTGAGAGGCCTAGAAATTTTAGAGAAGTCTTTAATAAACCTCCTATAGAAACCAGCATGACCAAGGAAACTTCTTATACCTTTGATATCTTTAGGGCACAACATCTTTTCAATAGCATCCACTTTAGCTTTATCAACTTCAATACCTCTTTGAGAAATTTTATTCCCCAAGATAATACCTTCATTAACCATAAAGTGACACTTCTCCCAATTCAAGACAAGATTAGTTTCTTCACATCTCTGCAAAACTCGATCAAGGTTGCTCAAGCAATCATCAAAAGAAGTTTCATAAACGGACAAATCATCCATGAAAACCTCAACAATCTTTTCACAAAAGTCAGAGAATATAGCAGTCATACATCTTTGAAAGGTAGCAGGTGCATTACATAAACCAAAAGGCATACGTCTATAAGTAAAGGTACTGAAAGAACAAGTAAAAGTGGTTTTCTCTTGATCCTCTTTTGACACAGGTATTTGAGAGAAACCAGAATAACCATCTAGAAAGAAAAACTGAGTATGTTTGGATAATCTTTCTAGCATTTGATCAATAACATGGACCGATGCCCTATTTTCTACTAGTGTTGACCTAGTAATATAGTGGGCATGAGCCACAAATGTGAGTGATTCAAGTTCAATTCCAAATATAATGCATATACATTTATTCATGGATTGTTCAAACCCTCCCTAACATGCGAGACACATTTGACCATAAAAATAGGTAAAACATGATTCGTTGACAGGCACCCTGTAGAAATTTTATACATTCTACATTAAATATTTACACATAATCATGAACTAGAAACCTATGTTAGGATATTTCCGAGAACATACTATTTGAAGAGCTCCACCAAGATATCTAAGCATACACAGAGATATATACACTATGTTCATGGAGTATCACAAATTATCCACTAAAGCATGCAATTTTATGCTTTCTTATTTGTCTCACATTTATGGGGATTTGGTTCAAAAATGTATTTTAAGGCAACAAAAATAGAAAAAAGTAATGTAACTTTCACTACATATATAGTTCATATTTAGCACACTGCATGCGATGTTTTGAAACTATAAATATTACACAGGTGTATAAAGATCATTGTTATTACCATTTAGTAAATAATCATAAATAAGTATAGAAAATTAGTATAAACATTTAATTTGTTTTTACTCACCTTTTACAAACATTAAAGAAAATTTAGACCACAAGGTGAACAAGAGTAGTGTCATCAAAGATTCACCTACTGTGGGTAAATAAAAGTAACTGAATTAGAAAAAAGCTTCGCTATATTTTTGAACACACGCGGTTAAAGAGAGCACGTTGAGGTAGAGATCCCAAACACAGTCTTGGTCTCCGCCCGATCGAAATGGGCCACCAAAGCTGCCTTGTCAGCACTAGCAACTCTTATAGTATAGAGCATCGAGGTTGAAGTGCCTTACAGTCTCCCAAGGACGGCCTAGGAACTTAGGAGTAGAAGCCCATGAGAGCTGCAACCTTGGCCTCGCGCCCGAAGACCACCTCGTCGTCGATGTCGAGGGCGCGAATTGCATTGTTGCGACACCACTGCAAGGTAAGAGCGGTCACCGCCTTGCATTTTCTTTGTTGCTTTCAATATACACCTTGTCGTTTAATGGCGAGGCACTGGCCTGCCTCAAACCAAAAAACATGTTTATCTGCCGACAGATTATGGTATTCTTTCCGGATGTCAAATAGATTGACAATAAATTTTAAGATTTAACAGTGTTGCCTCTTCCAATCCTTTGCGGCAAAACTAAACGTTTTCTTGTGCGAGGTGAGTGCTCCTGAAATTCAGACATTTGAAACAGACATTTTGATTGACTCAACTACAAAAAGTTCAGTTAGTATATGCCGAAGAAAAAAATCTTGCTTTTCCAAATATAGTAGCTTACATTATACAAAAAAAGAAAAACTTTAATGACGATCCAGATATATGCAAAATGCTTCATCCCGAGGGCTCATTCCAGCTAGAAAAATGTTGATGCTAATAGCTAGCACGTGTTGCTTTTGTTTTCCTTTTCGCACTGTGTGGTGGATTTCCCCTAGCGTGTTGAGGCTTGTTGTGGGGGGTTTAAACTTCTGGCTCAGCTATTTTGGAGTGGCCCGAGCACTCTGAACAAGTTTTTGATTTGTTGCCTCATTTTTAATAAAATGAGGCGGGTGCGACCCCTTTTCTTCAAAATAATAATATTTAATCAAAATATGGGCAAACTTGCAGACATTAAGCAACAAGTCCAAGAAAAAAGATGGATTCAGTTGGTTGAGGGAGGAAGGTAACACAAAAAATAAGTTTAGGGACCAAAACCACACTTCGCCATCTAGTAGGTTCAGGTCTTCTAGGTTCGGATAGCTACAAAAACATAGCAAAAGCAAATATAAAGTTTACACAAATTCACCTTGCTCCGCAATATTCAAGATCCTTGGATAAGCCAAAGGATAATACATACTTGTTTCATAGCTTTCAACCACACCAGTCTGGTCTAATTCGGCGATTAATGGAGCTATGTCTTTCTAAACAGATTCCTACATCTCGCCACTCGCCTCACCGTGTGGGTGTGGGCCGTGTCGGTAGGTGACCACAAGCAAATCAATCGTTAGTCACATTCAGTCACATCGTCCTGGTTCTTGGATTGGATTAGAAGAGTTCGTCCATGGCATATGGATGAGTACCCTCCATGCATTCCTTGGGCTTTATCCCTAAGTTATCCCTAGTAGTACATCCCTGTACCTGCCATGGAGATATAAACCTGCCCCTACTACCCAGAACCTTGTTCTTGGTTCAATACTCTTTTTGTGTGCCATGCATATATATGTTGCCTTTAATCCTACTTAACATTGATGAGATAGCTCCCTTGCAGACGCGTGCACGTAGACGCATCAAGCACCTAGCCACCTAGGTCCTGATCTCCCTCGCCTGCTGGCTGTATATATATGAACAACTTTCCCTCCCAAGTCCGAGACTCCGAGTACACCACACAAAATCCATGTGATCTTCTTCTTCTTACAAATAGGTTCACTGGACCAACAATGGCGACCGTGTCGCGCGACGAAAACCGGCCTCGGAGATTCGACGCTAGCATGTCAAGGAGGACAATAAGAAGACCGGCTGCTGCAAGGTTGGTTGTTGCTGATTGCGACCGAGATGCTCATCAGCTGACGCCACCGTCTGAGCACAAGACATCCCTGCAGCTAGACGTAGGTAACGACGAGACGGCGTGTTACCTCCAGGAGCCGCTGGAGGAAGGTCCGGATAACTCGCGTGGTTTCTCACTACAGGAGCTGATAGATGAGAACACAAACGGCGACGACATGGACCCCGGCGCTGCTACCGAAAGCCAAGGAGAGATCAGCGTCGCCACTGCCGCTCTCCATGGTCATGGAGTGGAAGAACCAGCTGCTGGTGCAAGGAAACAGCTCCCTGGACATGTGGTGGGAAGGAGGGTGGTCCGACTGGTGCGCCGGTACGTTACAGTCAAGGCCAAGCACGCGCCGGAGAAGAAGGCCGCGCCGGTAGTTTAGCAAGTACAGTATATACACCACCTGTTGGAAATACGTTTCCTTTGTGGAAAAGAGTGCAGTGTGCTGCTTGGTACTGTATTTACTACTCCCTCCGCCTCACACCACAATATAAGATTTTTTTTTAAACTAACATAGCTTAAAACCGATCTTACATTATAGAACGGAGGGAGTACTAATTATTTTAATCCTAAATAATTGATAATTACAATTGTAAGCATTGAATCATTGACACTTACAAGTGGAACCACCCGAGGACTCACATGCAAGTTGATTTTTTTTAGAGAATGTCCGACTTTATAAACTACCCCCTCCGTTCTTGTAAGTCTTTGTGGAGACCCCACTATATATAAACCACATATGGATGTATATAGATGCATTTGAGAGTGTAGATTCTTTCATTTTGTTCCTTATGTACTCCATAAACTATGGTTACATAAACAAAGACTTATGTTTGGAACGGAGGGAGTAGATGATACCCCGGTAATCTTGTTAAAAGATATGCATAACCGCCCGATTGGATTTATGATTGGAACGGAGGGAGTACTTGATTTTTTTTCGAATTTACTATTCATCATGCAGATATTTTTTTTGCCACGAGCTCCTCGAGTGTCGAAAGAGCACGGAAATTTGGGCACACCTTGCGCATGTAAGCATATTGAACCCCAAAAAAATTCAGATTTTTTTGAAGTTTTTCTGAAGAAAAAATACGCATTTACTGTTATCAGGTGGTTTTGACCCGGTCAACACCTTCAAAATCTGGTTTAGGACCAAACTTATCCGGTTTTGAAACTTGAGGGACCAAAAGTAGACCAAAATTTTTTGAAGGACCAAGTCTAGACTTTCTGGGAACTTGAGGGACCAAAAACACAATTTTCTCTTATATGGTACATAAAGAACTAAAACTAATTCAAGACTATTCTCGACTTACTCTTTAAAAAAACTAAATATATATTAAGCATATAATAAATGATGTATAAAACAAAAAAAATAGATTCAGGTAAAAGAGTGTCAATTCTTAAAAAAGTATGAAGGATCTAACTATATAGGTATGCTCCAAGCGTCCACCTCATTTAGGATCTAACAATTTAAATGCATTGTGATTTAAAGCCCATTTAAATGCATTGTGATCGGCCAGATGCTAGTGGATCAAGCTAGTGGATCAAGCATCCATATTAACATATATGTTGGATAAAGCCACCACTGCCAGAACCATATACAACAATGCATTACAACGGTGCATGCCAACGAACAACAATCGAGGGCAGCCAAAGAAAGTTCTAGATGAAGACACGCATGCCTAAGGCAGGAAATGGAGCAACATCTCAATAGTGCACGGGCGACAAGGAACTAGGAGGGGTGGTGGCGGTACTTTTGATCTTGATAATCAGGTCGTGGACTTCACAAGCATTCTCTTCCTTATGCATCCTCTCCTCGAGGCCTGCTCCGGTGCTCCCCCCTAACCTAATTTCCGAGGGGTATTTCTGTCCCCGCAAGTTTGTATTTTTCTTGGCCCGCCGTAGTCCAGATCCAAACCCTGTCTAGCCCTGTACAAATCAGACCGTATACGTACAGTACCTGGTCCAAAAAAAAACATCACACGACCCATTGATCACATCTGGATTATCTTTCTGACCATACATGCTTGGTCCGCCGAAAATCTATAAGGGTAGTACTGTCCACTCGGAGGATCGCCCAAATCATTACCTGAAGTCATCTTCAGGACTGCAAAAGGGTGAAAATGACCCTCCTCTACGGATACACTTGGCCCTTATCCTAGGCTCCAAGGCGTCAGTTTCACAAACTTGGACTCAGAGATGGCATGTGCTCGTGTTCCCCAGGATAATGAGTGGCCTCTCTCTGGAGAGTCAACCCACACACTAGCCTCGCCACTCAGGTTTCATGGCACGTCCATGTCAGGCCACTAGTCTATCTCCTCCGGGAGACATACGAGTGCCACCAGGTTTTTTCTTGCAGTCAACATACCCCGATCAGTCAAGAAGCAAGTCCACTCGGACAAATACCCCTTTCATGCAAAAGGGTGAAAACGAAGCTCCTCTATGGATACATGTACTCTTACAAATACCCTTTTCACGCAAAATCTAATGGTCAATATAGGAAGTACTACTGGAACGATTACTCCCTGGAGTCTCCAACTTTTTTCTATAGTCGGCAGTTTCAAAGCCGAATTCATTCACCGTGCTGAGAGCCCGAAGATTCACCTGCTTGACCGAGTTCCAGGCTGAATTTATTTACCGTGCCGAGTGCATGAAGATCAGTCCGACTGGCTCAGCTCCAGGCTGAGCTTATTTACCATGCCAAGCGCCTGAAGATCCATCTGATTGACTCAATTTCATACTAAAAGGTATTTACTGCGCCGACTACATGGAGGTTTACCAGGAGACTTAAACCCTCTGCCAGACTCATCTAGTCCGACAGAGGCTCGGGGACTACACCCAGTGGGTGCACTCAGCGTGCCCCCACTGGAAGAAAACTCAGAAAGAAACATTTTGCTCGATGCAAGACCAGCTCCAGATCACTCAAGTGCTACTCGACTTCCGAGTCAAGGAAGGGCAAGCTAGGCCAGTACCAGATCCTCAAGTACTACTCGACCTCCGAGTTGGAGAGGCACAAGTTCTATCAGTACCAGCTAAGAAGATTTTTAGTTCTCTCAGATCCCCGCCGACTGCCCGCAGTCGACGGTGGTCTCGGGGACTACACCCAGTGGGTGCACTCAGCGTACCCCCACTGGAGTAATCTCCACTCGGTACGGCCTGACCGGTCTGAGTGACGAACAACAAACAAACAAGTTTAACGCTCCTCCGCAGTCCTATTTTGAGCCTTCTTGTAGGACTCAAAGCGTGAAACTCATAAGTTTGGATCTAGAACCGACTCGTATTGACGTTCCTCCGAGATAAGAATGGCATCTCTCCGAGAGAGCAGGCCATGCGTCAATCTTGTTTCAAAGATTTAATGACACATCATACTCTGATCACGAGTTAACCTCTTCCGAGAGATGAACGAATGTCACCAAATTTCTCCTCGCGGGCACTTACCCCAGATCAGTCGGGAAGCGCAGTGCTGGAATCCATTGAGATTTTGTTCAAATCTTGGTTGTCTGAAAGCACGATGACGGGTACCGAGTATTTCTGTAATCACTCGAGCCAAACCGTGTCTTTCACAAACTCGTTCTGCATAATTGCAATCAATTCGGGGGCTAATGTTGGGGATACACATAACAGGTAGGCCCATGAAGGGTCGAAATATCATAAAGCATGGGGTCCACACTACATGTGGGTCAAGATAACCCTCATACAGTGTACTATCCACTCGGACATATCAACGTACCGTCCACTCGGAAGACAGTTAACCACTCGGTCGTATGGCTCACTCGGATATGCGAAGTCCAAGCAGTCGGCAAGGCAGTCGAAGCATTATTCTCATAGTGGAGGTTTCGTAGTGGGCTGCCATTATGGCATTCATACCCCTCTTTGTAACATAGGAGGTGAGGGGGTGGCGCACTCTATATAAGCCAGCCCCCGCCACTAGACTAAGGGGGCTCTTTCCTCTCTCATTCCTCCCCCTGGCTCTCTCGAGACATTAATCTCAGGACTAGCTCAGGCAAGGAGATCGGTTCTCCTCTCTCACACACATATTGTAATCTCCGGATATACACTCAGATAAAGCAAAGCCTCTCCGAAGCACGAGACGTAGGGTTGTTATCTCCACCCAGAGAGGCCCGAACTCACTAAAACACCGTGTCACCCATATGCATCTCGATAGATCATGCTCCTTTATCCACCCCTCTCTTATTGTCGGAATCGTTCCCACGACACCGATCCTTGAATAAGAGGACTCGTTCTATTTCGAACCTCCTAAAGATTAATTGGTGGGAATGGATTTAGGGATTGGGACCCCCCCTAAAAACATTTGCAGCAACATGAATAAAGTAGTGGTGGGCAAAGCTTGGCAATGGAAGGTGTAGTAAGTTTTGCCATCTCCCCTCACACCCGGTTCCCAGAGCTTGGTGCCACCTCTAGGAACACAGGGGGTCTGGTGTGCATAGCTTGCCTCCCGTCGAATGTTTTGAAAGATCTTTTGCAGAAGTTGTTCCCCAATACAGTGGTACACCTGCACGACGACAATGTTATCGTTGCAGGTGGTTGAGATGTAGCTCCACATAGTAATATAGTGGGCATGAGCCACAAATGCAAGTGATTCAATTTCTATTCCAAATATAGTGCATACACATTTATTAATGGATTGGTGAACCCTCCCTAACATGCGAGACACATTTGACCACAAAAATAGGTAAAACATCATGTTGATGCTTCGTCGACAAGCATCTTGTAAACATTTTATACATTCTACATTAATTATTTACATACACATAATCATGAACTCGAAACTTCTCTTAGGATATTTTTGAGACCATACTCTTTAAAGAGCTCTACCAAAATATTTAAGGGATACAGATAGAACTACACACTATGCTCACGAAGTATCACAAATTATGCACTAAAGCGTGTAAATTTATGTTTTGTTATTTTTCTCACATTTATAAGGATTTGGTTCAAATATTTATTTGAAGGAAAAAATAGAAAAAACAATTTAACTTTCATTACATATACAGCTTATATTTAGCACAATGCATGCAATTTTTTGAAACTATATAATATTACAGGTGCTATAAAGAAAATTGATATTAATGTATAGTAAATAAATATAAAAGTATAAAAAATTACTAGAAATATTTAATTTGTTTTTACTCACCTTTTGAAAACACTAAGAAAAATATATGTCACAAGGTGAAAATACAACTATTACTCATTGCCATACTAACAAATCAGGTAATACTACTACAAGAAAACACAAGATGGAACTAATGTAGATCTTTCATTTATGCTTAAATATTAGTATAGCTTTCAATCTAATGGTTTTGGGGGCTGTCCAAAATGACATCTTTACTTTCTGCTGATAAGTGTGTTATAGTGATGTGATGA